GAAAAAGGGGCTGTATGAACTGAAGTCACTGGATCTTGAGCTTCCGCAGCCTTGGTGTGGCTCCGAGGCAAAGCGGCGTTCTGCGGATCCCCGGTTCGAATCCCGGTCGAAGTGCCCGCAAGCCAGGGATGGGCAAAACACATGCAAATATGTATCGAAATACAAATACAAAAACACTTCGTCAAAAATGTATTTAATTACAAATCTAACTACATTTCCAAAAAAGCATTTAAGTACAAGATACAAATACAACCAAATGTATTTGGTCTCCTCCAAATACTTTTCCAAATACATTCCTCACAATTTGCGTCAGCGACTTCAGGGTACCTGCAACGGGTTTCTGGGTATCTCATTTTGATTTTGCATCGCACACTCGGGAGTTAGTGTGAGAGGCTCTAGTAACGTAATAGAAATATAATCACAAAAGACAATGTAATCAGCTTGGACGTAATAGGTGAAAAATGTACAGAGCTTCTAGCAGCTTTTTTTTTTTCGATTACATTTTCGTATAGACCAACAAAGAACCGAGACGACCAAGACGCGCAGCACTAGCTAGATAATTTTTTATTGTTGCAACTCGCACCAGTTACGAGAATCTGGACGACCCGCGTATTTAGAATGTTGCGGGCAAAAATGTGGTTGGAAATCATGCTGGAAAGCGTCACAAGTTGTCACAGACACTTATTTAGCCAGTCTGCCTGTGAACATCGATTTCGTCACTATTCTTGCCCTGAACTAGCACCGTAATCACAAGGTCATTAAACGCTTGTGCTTGATTGAGAGACATTGCATTCCGTGCAGAACGTAGTTTTCTTCCTGCTCTGGACAGTGACAAAAAATTTGAGGGATGTATTTTCGCCCACAAAATTGTATTTAATTACAATTGTATTTGAAATACCCACTTTTTAGTATTTAAATACACACGTCAAATACATTACCCAATTTGTAATTAAATACAAATGCAAAATACACAAAGTATTTGCAATACGTATTTGAAATACTTCTCATGTCGTATTACACCTGAGACTGCGGTGGAAGAAATCGGAAGAACTTTCAGTAGAAGGAACAGACACAGAGACGTTCTCTGTGTCTGTTCCTTTTACTGAAAGTTCTTCCGATTTCTTCCACCGCAGTCTCAGGTGTAATACGACATGATTAGCTACCACCAGCTCGCCTGCACTCTCACCGTCTTTTGAAATACTTGTATTTGAAATACTGCCCATCCCTGCCGCAAGCACAAGGATGCTTATTCCGGAAAAGGCGCCATGTAACTCTGCTTTCGGTTGCACCTCGAAGGATCGCCAGGTGGTCTAAATAAATCCCCAGACCTTTACCGGGGCGTGCCAGATGCCTTTCGTTGGTTTGGCACGTAAACCACCAAATTTACTATTGTTTCACTGCCTTCCCTGCCTGCTAGTCAGACACAATGAATTACTAACATACAGGCGACAAAACCACGTAAGGTGATCGGCTGATCGGTATGAGTTGCCATGGGGGGCCATTTTGGTCCATTCAAATCTTCCAAGCTTCGAAAGGGTCGTTCTAAACCAGTCGCGTCAAGATCGCCACGGAGCACGATTCTACTGGAAGCGTTCTTCGCCAATATAAGCATCTTTGGCACTGTGTACGCAATCACCTTATCAATCATGCTTATCTCTACAGATCTCTTACAATGATACTGCTCTTGCGTATTTCAAGAAATCGCAATTATGTTTCGATGTCTCCCAACGCCGATTCATTGGTGTTGGTGGTACGATGATGTTACTCTTGTTTCGTCGGTGTGCGGATATCAAAATCTCGGTATACAAGAAACGTCTCTATAAACCTGCACATCACCAGCGCATTTAGATCGGCTCACCGAGAATAAGAGGTCGAGGAGAAACTGCTCATTCCTTGAACCAAAATGGCGACCATACGGAGCGCTTGGCGTTATACTTTCCCAGGATCTAGTGACTTTAGGGTGAACTAGCCTTCACTCTCCTGCACCGCTGTGCGCTAGTCATGGCGTCATTTGACGTTACGGTCACGTGACAGAAGGACGTAATGGTGTCGCGTGATGTCAGTAGACACCATAAAAAATCCGCTAAATTTGGAGAAGAACTTTATCGTGGTATCACGTGGTATTTTTATGTTACGTGGAGTAGTCTAAAGACGTCACGTGATAATGTGACATGATGTTACGACCTACAAAAGAATTACCCCGGAATTCACCGAGAAACTTCGCCAATAACCGGTGTCGCTTTATGAAATCGAGTCCTCACGGATGCGTTGTGCTCAAAGGGGTTGTAAGCGAGCACGCTCTTTTTATTATATTTTTTACGAACAGGCTGCACCCAAGACTCGGAGGGTTCCTCTTCCTGGTGTGCGTGGTGTTCGGCTTCGCCTGTGGCTTCGCAATGTTCGCCGTCGTCTCGACGCCTCCCGGTTTCCAGAAGGAAGATCCGCGCCCCGACTGGCACGCTCGAGCGAACACTCACTCGAGTAAAGGACGCTTCGCGCATTAGCGTTTGAGGGCGACCGTCTGCGCACCCCTCAGCTGCGGTGGGAGCTACGCTCTCGCTGTAGCAATCAGCCGCCTCCCCTTCGCCACCTGACACAGCTCTCCGTGCCAGGACGTGGGCGGGATCACGAGGCGAAGGTCCATCGCGCTCGTAGCTTCCGCCTCAGCCTCTTAACCACTTCCGGTCCGCGTATATATCCTAATTTTTTCTTAAACGTCATTCTTTCACCGTGTGTGAAATGATGACATAATGATGACAGTTCAATCTCCTGTTCAGTCGTGTATACAGAGAGTTTGGTCAATGGGAGGCGCGGGCAGAGCCGGGGCGTGCACCAGACGCAAACAGAGGACTTGGCATGCTCTCTTTGCCAACCAGAAGCCGAAAGAGATCCCCTAGCGGCGGTATCGAGAAACTGTTTTATGGTTTTATTAAGCACGTAAGAGTGAAGTGTAGTAACCCTTTATGGTTGAAAATAGGGTGCACGCGATGTTTCGTTCATGATCATGGTAAAGGATGTAAGAAACGAATGCGCCGCTTGAACTCTGTTTTGCTGGGACAGAGTGTGACCATTCGGACGGCTGATTCTCGGCGCTTGGCGTACAGATTATGTTGATCGTTCCGCTAGTCGCACTCTTCCACCATGATTTTGGATGACCGTGATTGAAACATCACGTGCACCATATTTTCAGTCACCGAGAGTTACTCCGACGCACTTATCAAGTTTGTTTCTCACGACCACCGCCAGGGTATTATTTCCGCTTCTGGTTGGCCACATTCGAATTTCTGAAGACGCCCTAGAACACGCCCAGCCCGCTTTTGACCAATGGCGCCTCCTCATTTGTCTCCTATACTTCCCAAACGAATGACCAAACTCTCTGCATTTACGGCTCTGGCAATAATCTTTGTAACGGGGGGCACCTTGCTCCACCTAGCCGAAGTCTGAAAAGACAACCATGCGATTTCTCCCGCCCTTCTAAGCCAATTTTCTCCACCAGGCAGGTGACAGTTAGGGGGAGAAAATGTGTTCCAGCCGAACGCTTGCGCAGCGCTCGTGTGATGCTCTTGAGTTATAGGAGTGTGTCACCGAAAAGTGCTCCGAAGCAGCCCAACACCACCTGGACAGAAGGCCTCCGCATGGTCTCCTCTCCCTCTATGAAACGTCATCAGAGTCGGATGGCGCTAACTCGGCTCTTGGGCCCGAGCCCGACCTTCGAAGCGCTGACTGGACACGAGCCCCAGCCGAACACTGACACAGCACTCGTGCCCAATCTCACGCCTCGATCCATCTGACTGTGATAACGCGTGCGGCCTTCTATCTAGGTGGTGTCAAAAAGAGTGCACTTGTGTTCCTCGCCACTCACGTTTGGCTCTCAACAGGAACCGCCGGCAAGAAGGAAACGGTGACAAGCAGCAGCGAACTGAGCTCTGTACCAACGATCGATCCTACCACGCACGTACCAGGTCAGAGGTGTTTCTGGAAAATTTAACCCTCTTGCGGGCCGTGCGAGCCAACCACCTTTCATCGTTGTCACCACAGACTTGCACGGATACAATACGTTACAGTCGCTCTCCCCGTCCCCCACCATCCCGAAGAGTTAGTCACAAATTCGCAGAACAAAGCCTTTGTTCCACTCACTCTTCGAACGCGTTCGAAGAGTGAGTAGAACAATGGCAGCTATACGGAGCGTAAGTTCGTCTGCTTCTTTTGCAGGGTTTGTGAGGACGTCAGAACGCCCAGCTGTGATTGGCTCTGAATGAAGGATAGTGGGTAGGCCTCAAATTAAGCTGCCTTGAGGTCTACCCACTATCTTTCAATCAGAGCCAATCAGAGCTCGCCGTTCTGACGTCACCACAACCCCCCGCAAAAGAAGCAGACGAATTTGCACTTCGCATAGCTTTGCGTCTACCCACTAATCATTCCAGCTCGGTGTTATGACGTCACCGCGCGCTCTTGATTCCTCCTCTCCTTCAATTTCTGCCCGTATGAGGCGGGTCGGAAATACACTGAAGCGCCGTTCATACATATGCAACCGGCTAAGACCGAGAAAGACCAGACCGTTTTTTAAGCCTCTTGCGACGTCTTCAGACCTGCTCCGCTGCTGCGCATCCGGTCCTAAGACGCCGCAAGAGGCTTAAAAACCGCTCTGGTCTCTCTCGGTCTTACTTGGTTGCACATGTGTGAAGGGTGGTTAAGACGACGAAAGAGGCTTAAAAACCGGTCTGTTTATATTTTTTTTTTTTCTTGAGGGAAGTGATCTGGAAAACATTTTATATCATCCCTCGCAGAAAACGTTGGGCTACGGTTCTCCAGCATGGAATTTCTCTAGATCGCCGACCCTGTAGTCGCGTAAACCCGCCAACGTTTAGACCTTTTTCTCTTACTCTCGCCCCCAGCCGCCGAGTAGGCATATCCGGTATTTGCGACGGAAAAATAATAAAACATTTCAACCTGCAGAAAGTAAAAAAAAAAAAAAAAAAAAAATAATAATAAAGGGGAGACAAAACGAGAATGGGTGACGGTATTCAAGATGGCGGCGCCTTTGTGAAAAAGGTCGTGCCGCACCCTGTTACAGATTGCGGCCGGCCCATGTACTTCCGGTGCCTGGACGGTGCCGAGTACGACAGGGGCGATTGGGTGTTCGTGAAGCCCTCTCGGAGCACGGGGTCGCGCACTTCGGGCGTCTGTAAAAGGTGGCGACCCGACAGCCTTTGCCTCAGCAAGTCCAAGGCCCACTTCCGGAAGTGGACGACATGCGTCACTGCCTGTGAGGGTAAGCCGCAGAAAAGGAGTCAGCAGGTGCCGACTCTAGACGTCGCTAATAAGTGTGGAACTGTGATTGGGCGCATCACCAATCACTGTAATTGGCTAATCACGTACAGTAGTTTGCCAGTCACTGTAATAGACCCTTTTGAAAGCTCGGTCTACCCTCCCTGTCTAGAGACAAACCTGACGTTCTAATGGCGGCGCTACACAACTTCTGCACAACAGGAAAGGAGAACTTTATTATAATAACTTGGTCCTGGTACGGTCGCTTTCGATTTCCAAAGTCGAGGGTGCTTAATTTAGGTGATTTTGCTTTCGTACCACCATTATTAGAGCGGAAACATTGGAGGTTTGGGTGGCTCTGACTTTTGAGAAGGGTCTATTGACTACCAACTATAATTGGCTGTAACTACTCAAATTAGTTGGCTATCAGGAAATAAGGAAATACGTGTTACAGATTTTTTTTCCTGCTGTGGGTCAGTCTTTGGGTTAGTGGCGCTCGCTCAGGCCGTAGCACACTGAAAAAATGAATGGGATGGAGATATAGCGCTTGAAGGGAGAAAGGGGAGGGGGGAGTGGGGTAGGTTTTTCGACGACCCGGCGTTATGCAGCATGTGCCGGCTAGCTCGCCCTCTGTTCTGAAACATACACACGCGCACGCACGCACACACACATACACACACCACACACACACAAATACTCACACACACACACCGCACACGCACGCATGCACGCGCGCACACATAAGAAAAAAGAAAACAAGAGCGGCACTGCTAGCTCAAACTTGAAGGTGGAGAGGGGAAGGGGAGAGGGCACCACCTCTCCCTACTGCAGCTTTTTAGAGCGCAGCTCGTAGGCGCCCATTTCCTGCTTGAGCGGCGTCGGCCTAGCCGCGCGGTCCATGATGGGTAAATTTCCCTGCTAAATTTAGCGGAAAATTTTTTCTCTAAATGGGGGCGAGCAGGAGAGGAGGAGGGGCATAGCCCCCTCTTCATACCTCTCCTCCTCAAGAGCTGCGCTCTAATTCGGCGTTACAGGGAGTTTTAAACGGCTTTAATTTTTTAGAGCGCGGCTCTTAGGCGCCCGTTTCCGGTTTGAGCGGCGTCGCCGCCGGCGTAACCGCGTGGTGCACTATGGGACGCGTGACGTCATCGGCATCGTCACTGATGGCGTCATTGGTATCTGCATCGTCATTGTCACTAATGACGTCACTAGTGATGATGACGTTATCAGTGACGATGACAATGACGTCATCATGATGACGTAATCGTAATCTTCACGTGACCTCACAGGGGTCACATGACCCCCGTGAGGTCATGTGACCCTCGTGAGGCGACGACAACGCCGCTGGCAGGGAGGAGTAGCAGACAGGACGAGGAGGTGAGGAGGAGGGAGGAAGGATATACCTTTCTCTCAGTACCCTTCCCCTCCTCGTCCTCGAGAGCTGCGCTCTAATTCGGCGTTACAGGGAGTTGTAAACGGCTTTCATTTTTTTATCTTTGTTGTTAACCTTTTAACGCCGTAATGTTCAACTTCAAACGTCACCATAGCTTCAGTCCAATGCTAATCTTCGAACGAAACCAGCTGCGCCGACAATGGAACCTAAAGAAATTCATGTGGTTGGATTTGGATACACTAAATATTCCAAAAATCATGGCTAAATTTAATAACCTAGCTAATCATATTACCAGCTTTATTAATATTGGTGATCTCAGTGAAAGTATCGAAGCATCGACGATACTGTGTGGAGTATCTGTATCAAAAATAAATTTCCGTTCTGTAGCTTGCATCGGCATCGGAAATACAATTTTTGAGGATATCGGTATTGGTTTTAGAAGTATCGTGCCCAGCTCTGCATAAAAAAAAAGAGTATCCAATATGCAAAAAAAAAAAAAAAAAAGAAAGAAGATGGGCAGCAGATGTTGAATGTTTTGAGAAGATATAACGATCTTCAAATTAGAGGCGTGCGATTAGTGCACGTGAATCGAATAGCGCTTCATCACCCATAGCCTTCTCAGTGCAAGGGAGAACGACTATATAACGGTTATTTTTAGAGTGCTGAAGGTAGCGATGCCACAGCTCTATTCATCTCAATTGATATTCGCATACCCTTTCGCAGTCCTAATCAAAACGATATTTATTTAATTATTTTTAGGGAACGTTGGCATTACAGAGTGGAGTGGGGAATCAAACCGGAAGCGAACCACAATGGGAATGATATAAAGAGGAAGCTCACTGATCAATAGGAAACTTGTGGCAAGTATAGTGGTTGCACAAAAAAGAGCGTAGGCAACATTCGACGCAGCGTAATCGATTCCAGTTGTTATAAGTTTTAGGAATGAATGTTGCAAAAGTGGAATTAGAGTTGCAAAACAGGACACCGACTTGGCGACGGTGATCAGATCGTGCTCAGACATGCGGTGGTGGCATTATTAGCTGCGCATTGAGTTTAGGAACATGATAGATTTTATGGAAAAAAAAAAAGACAAATTCGAAACACTCTGTGACGATGTGCTAGATTTGGAAGTAATTAAAGTGTCTTTCATTGACGTGACAACTCTGAACAGCTTTCAGTGAGTCAGTTAGATAACCAGTGAAGGAATTCCCTATACTTCGTCTCACCCTACGATGGACTAAAGGCAAAAGCTACGAACCACCAGATCCAATCACGAGCCACTTAGAAATTACCTGGTATTTCGCTTCAATGAACGTTACTGAGTGACTCATCAATTTTACATTGCAAAGCAAGCCACGACATACGGGCTCTTTGCAGTGTCGAAGCTATAGAAATGATGCAGCGCATTTTCATGAGGAGCATTATATTCGTTCATCCTTAATCTATGTTCATAGTTTATCGTGGAACGTGATTGGACATGGCTGCCCGTAGCTTTGGCCTTTAGTCCATCGTAGGATGAGACGAAGTATAGATGTAGACTGCTTGCTCGAGTTTAGTCCGCGTTTTATAAAAATGCTTTAAAACAAAAGTTTTTTTTTTTTTTTTTTGCAGAACGTAGAGAAAAACGTTGCCTCCAACTGCTCACCGAAGACCTCCTTCGAAACTGCACAGAAGCAGGAATGCCCTCCGACCAGGGCCGGTACTGGTACTACGACCGCGTTCAGCGGACATGCCTGGCCTGGTCAGCCGACCACGTGTGTGCCGACAACTCCTTCAAGTCATCGGGCCAGTGCAAGAACGCTTGCTTGTGGCGGCGGGCAGCCTCCAAGGAACGGAAATAGCACCTACGACCATGATATTGCTTTAATGTATTGGGTGGTATTCACTGGGAGTCCAAGTTAAGGCTGGTTCACACATCTGCGTTTGAGTGTAATAGGCTGCGTTGCAACAATCTGCGACCGCTTACGACTCTGGCGCCCTCTATATGGGATGGCCCCGGAAAGCTTCCAATTTATACGCGCTTTAGTTTTTTTTTTATCCCGGGCTCTACATTGTTTTGACAGTGTTACAGACAACAATTCTTTTGTAGTTGTGTACGTAGATTTCATCTTGTGATTACTGCAAAACCTTCGTTCCAGTTATGTGCAAAGTGGAATTGTTTTAGAATTACCCGATAGATGGCGCCACTGTGCTTTCTCGTCGTAAGCGGTTGGTTGCAAGTTTGCAACGCAGTGGATCCCACTCGGACGCGACTGTGTGAACCGGCCTCTGTAAGTTCGTTGCTGCTGAACACTTCCGCAGCATGCACTTCAACATCGCCACGATGCCGGTTTTTAGCAGATGATGTGGGAGCTCGATCGATCTGCGCGTGCGCTGTGAGCAGCGCACTTACGGTGTTTGTGGCTTCCAGTGAATACTATGCCTATAGACGTATGTATGCACCGTTAATAAATTGACATTGGGGACTTTTGGCAAACCGTTAGCATGTTCCACGTACTGCACTACCGGAGCCTTTGAAGCATGCTTTTAGCCCGCGGTCACGGTATCCCCCGGTCGCGCGCTTAAAAGCATGTGCTTTAAAAGGCTCCGGTAGTGCGGCACGCGGAACACGGTAAGGGCTTGCCAAAAATATGCTACTTTGAAATGGTCGATCTATAAATAAGATGGAACCGATCATTTCAGGTTTTAAAACCTTTATATACTCCTGTTAGCTGGCGAAGACAATTTTATTTTCTTCAGAAACATTTGGAGCCTCACGAATTTGAAACGAATAAAAAAGATAAAGGAATGGCTTTCCTCGTTTTACTGTATATAAATCTAAAATGTTAAATTTCGTTCTTTTAATTTTCTGTTAGTTGTAAATTGTTCTTGCTTGCCGATCGAAAAAGGTCTGACAAATTTGAGAGAAGCTTTTGATCGGCAAACCATAAATTGTGTGAATGAAGAAAAAAATGAAAGACGATTAAAACTCTCTGTAACGACGAATTAGAGCGCAGCTCTTGAGGAGGAGTAGGGGAGGGGAGAGTATGCCCGATTGATTTCACGAGGGTGACTTCACTCGTGACGTCACAGGGGACCCTCGTGATGTCAATCGTGGCCCCCGTGACGTCACTGGTGATCCTCGTGACGTCACTGATGACCATCGTGACGTCACTGGTGACCCTCATGACGTCATTCATGGCCCTCGTGACGTCACTGATGATAATCATGACGTCACTGGTGGCCCTCGTGACGTCACCCTTGTGATCAGTGCATGGCCATCGTGTGACGCAAAGTTCATATTGCGGTACCGCGAAAGGTACGAGTAACGTCGCAAGAGAGTTCCGATATCAGTCAGGTAAAGGCCCGTTCACACTCTTGCAACCGAGTACGACCGAGAGAGACCAGACCGGTTTTTAAGCCTTTTGCGACTCCTTAAGACCGGATGCGATGCAGCGGAGGTGGTCCTAAGAAATCGCAAGAGGCTTAAAAACCGGTCTGGTTTCTCTCGGTCGTACTTGGTTGCAAGAGTGTGAACGGGCCTTAAGATGCTATACGGCTGTTTAACTTCTTTGCTTCGTAAATGTCAAGCATCTGTATCAAATAATAATACACATTCATAAAGTTGCCTGGCAAAAAGCGAGTTCGGCACGATGAACGCATTCTCAGAACGAGCCCCCACTAATTGTAACCTCGCCCTGAGCAGGAACGGATTAAACTATGGCCGCAATGCTAGGCACCACGACGCGCTTCGACCTCTGACCGGGGTTACTCGGCAACCACAGTTACCACGCAATGCGATACGGACAGCTGCTTCCGAAGTGAAGAGTGCATGCACAGCTTTGATGGGCGCTCGATATACGCAAGCGCACGTGTGCCCATAGCTCTGCATATCCACAGAAAGCGTAATTTCCCTATAGACGGGCGTTGGCGAGTCTCCAGAAAGGCCAATGCTAGGGACAAGGACACAGTAGAATCTAAAATGGCGATGACCTGGCCTGCTATGTTAATGACGAAGTGAAGTAAGCGGAATAAGAGGAAACTAAAACTGAAGGTATACGTTATGGCGGCGCCCATGCACAGCTGCAGCAAAGCGCCTTGAAGCCGACGTCCACCTAAGCCTAATATGGTCAAAACAGGAACTGGCATTGTGGACTTGTGTTGAATTAATTTTTGTGAAAAACACTTGGCAGCAAGAAAAAAGAATATTGTTTTTTTTTTTGTTGGCAAGTTCTTTCTTTCACTGAAAAATATGCGACACTTGCCTATACCATGCCATTTCTTGTTTTCACGGTATTAGGCTTAGCTAGTGCCACTAAATAAGCTACGCTTCAGAGTAACGACACTTGGCCATATTGTGTCTTAGAATCATGGTTGCCAGTTATCTGAAGCTTTATCTGAAATCACAGGAAACGCTTTTCCGCTATCCAAAAATGTTCAAACAGATCACGACAGAGCAAAACAATATTACATGAGCTTCCTAACACCGAATCTATTGCTGAGGAAGTCGCACTTTTGAATCATGACGATCGGCAGTTGCGTCTGCTCTGCATACGAGCCAAAATGGCGGCGCCCACAACAATGTCGGGCAGCGGAGTGCCGATACTCTAAGTGTAGCTCATTTAGTGGCTCTAGGCTTAGCTGGATGTCGGATCATAGCGAAAATTCGTATTTCTCAATTCTCTCATCTTGTCACAGAGTTCGAGATTTTTGCGACGTACAATTTATTTACGCGGGCATATAAAAACCCGGTTCTATCTTCTCAGGAACGTCCTGTATACCACCTTGAACATTTTCCAGGTATTAACGTCACGAACTAAAATATTCGGTAGCATTAATAGACCGATCTCACCAGCCAGTCTGACTGCGCCACCTTTGCCGCAATGCATCAAGGGAACTTTAAGTCTTTCTGCGCGTGCGGCAACCTTGCTGGAGCTCTGCGCGCGCAGGGCACGAACAATCTCATAAACTGCCGAATGCCTCCTGTGAACTAAAGTTATGGCTGCCTCGTGCATGCGTCGAACGCTTGGTAAGATTGGTATATTGCTGAAGTTTTGAGACTCAAAAGATTGGAAAGCGAATCGTTGACGGCAAACAAAACCTGCGCACATATACGTTGTCATGGTCTCAATATTTTCTGCGATGTAGCTCCTGTTCGGAACCTTAAAAAAAGTAAAAATATAGCAACTTAAAAAAAATTCCCTACCACAAAAAGTATGTAACTCTAACTTCGCGTTGATTTAATCATTTTACAGTGAATATTTCTGAGTAAACAAAGGCCACAGACTGGAGTTACAAGAAGTGATAGCTGTTTCGGTTAAATTTAAGACTACCTAAGAACAAGTCTGCCCATTTATGTTTTTATCAAGCCTGGGTACTAAACAAGTGAGTTCGAATATTGTATAAAAATTCAAAAGCGAATATAGTGGTCCATAGAAACAAGATGCTGCGAAATCAGTCTGTAACTCTTAAGGCATCCGTGCATGAAGTAGAAAATGACATGCTTGTCATACTTTTGGAGATTTCGTTTCTTTGTGTGTTTGAGGTTCACCCACCCCGTCACATAATGGCGGGTGCTGCAGCTCAATCAAAATCCAGGTGAATTCTTGTCATTCATTAGCAACATTTTTATGGACTCCATTTCTCACCCATTTTTTGCGCTATCTCATTTTAAAAGGGGGGTGACGGGCAAACCTTCCGTGTGTAAGTCAAGTCAGTAAAAAAAAATAATTCAAATACCACAGCTTTAAGACAGCCTCTGTTGCACATTGATTCGTCACCATTTCGACAGTTTGTGTTAAATGATAGATTATTTTGTTTTGTAAAACCTTTACTATTCTTTTTTTTTTTTTTTTTTAGAAATTGTCCCGATGTCAAAAAGAATATGTCTCTTCAGCGCAGAGATGTGTAAGGAGAGCCACTAACGACATACCATAGATAACTTCCTTGAAGTTATGACTCGGAAGACGGAGCGCTGTAAATCTTAGTTCTTAAATATATATAATAATGAGAAAAAAAAATGGGGGGGGGGGGGGGCATTTTTTTTTTTGGAGGCGACTCCGGCATTTGACCTTGAGAGGAAGAGCTGCACGGTACCCGTCTTCCAACTTGAACTGATACACGATATTCAATGTGACATAAAGAAGCTTCAGCCACGCTTACCGGCCGATTCTGTTTGAAAAAGAAAAAAAAAAAAATCAATCGCGGACCATTTGTTAGGAACCGCGAATAAAACCCATAACATCATGTGATTCCGACAGGTGGGATACCGAGTTATTGCTTCCAACACCTGTTTGTTTGCCGCCCAGCACAAAATAGAAAAAAAAAAACGGACGGAAAAGATTTGAAACGACGCAGTTGCACTTGGATCCCTCCAGTATGCCGGTGAAAACCGCTTTGACCGTTGTACTGGTTGTTCTGTTTGGGGCGTTGAATGTGTTCCACTGCTACAACGAGTATTACCAGAATCCGTGTGCGGTTAACCCTGGGCCGGGGGAGTGCCGGATCCTGAATCCGCTGGAACTGAATGAACCAGGTTACTGGCGGCTCGCAAATCTCATCTTAATGGATTATGGAACGGATTCGATCTGCCCGTACTGGGACGCCGTCAGGATGGTGGCCTACGGTACCGAAGGAGTAAGCGGGGCTCTCCGTCTCTTGTTCTTAACTTCACCTTGTGTCGTCTGTAATCACCTATATGGGCTGAAATATCTGTGAAAGCTATACGGTGTTTACAATGAGGGGCAGCGATCTAAACCGTGCAGGACCAATTGACGATTGCACATAGCTAACACTTTCACCGAACGTGTATTGAGGTGGTGGATTTTAACTGATGACATTTTAAAGGGGCCCTGCGACAACTTTTTGACTGGTTTTTAATTTGCACCGAACCTGAGAGCACTGAACGTAGTAACTTAAAGAAACTTTTCTTTTCTCAAATTTCGCTTTATTTTAGAAGTTATAGGCGAATTACAATTACAAAAACAAGCAAAAAATAACCTCCTTCACGACGTCGTAGGTCCTGGCTTGAGTGCAGACTTGTGCCCGTTACTCCAAAAAAGTAATTAATAACAATTACAATTACTTGGCCTAAAAAGAAGTGGATTACCGTTACAAATTACTCCCCGTAAAAAGTAACTGATTAATTACTTCGTTACTTTACTCAATTTCTTTTGCGTTATTTTAAAGAAACACGCAAAATACCTGCAATATCT